CCGCTGCTCCTGGTCGCTCCATGTCTCCAGGGGAACATCTCTGCAGCTTGACCCCAATGATTCCAAGTGTGTGACGAGCCCTGGGATAGGGACATTGCCACACAGGAGGCTTTCACCGAGCCCTTTTCACAGCGAGGTACTGCAGCAGGGGCATCTCCCTGAGCTGCTCTGCTCTGAAGCTGGCCCTCTGGCATCAAAAAACAGGCCTTTCTTTCCCTATGGACACATCCCCAGAGCACTTTGGCCATTGCTGTAAATGCCAGTTTTGGGTGGATTTAACCCACGGGTTTAGATTCAGTTGGGCAAAACCAGGGTTTTCTGCATGGCCACACTCATTGCTCAGGCTCTTTGCTATTCTCACCTAAGCCTTACATCCAAGGAGTGCTTTTGTATTGCAAAGCTCTCTGCACGCTCTCTGGATCCAGGTGTATTAGCTCCGACTGAGCGGCCATCGAGATCCAGGGCCTGATTCTGCCCTGGCAGTCCTTCTGCTTCCCCTCCTACACCTCCTCAGAGGGAGGAGAAGGTAACAACGTGGGGAGTTTGGAAACTGATGGCTCTGGAGGGAACGGTGATGGAGAAGCCCTGCAGAGGTGGCCCAGCCCGCAGTGGCCGGTTGCATTGCCTGCCCTTGGCACGGCATCAATATTTGGTGTGGATTTGCTCAGGAGCTGACAGAAACCATCCCTTTGCTTTATCCCCTGGTGGGATCCATGGAGTTTCGTGGTCCCACATCTGTGACTGTGCTACGTGTGTGTGGGTGTGGGAAAGGATGTGTATGATGGGACACGGGACAGGCTGCGGTTTCAGTGCTGGAGGCCCGCGTTTAGTGGGGTCTGGAATGGAGCGAGGATCCCAAGCTGATGCTGCCCCTGCCTGGGTGCTCTCTGGGAGCATGGGGGGGGGCAATCACAGAACCGACCAGACTGGAAAAGACCTTTAAACTCATCAAGTCCAGCCCTGACCCCAGCACTGCCAAGGCCACCACTGAACCATGCAATGAATTGTGTTACAGCAAGGGGGATGCTTGGGGAGTGATGAAGGGCTCCTGTGCTGCACAATGAGCGCCAACGCAGATGCCAGAGGTGCTGGGAGCTCCTCTCACACCCCTGGGCTCCCCCACTGTGAGCTTTCATGCGGGGTCCTATAAAAAGGACTAACCCCTAAATTCCAATGGGGGAAACCGAGGCACAGCAATGAGCCAGGGGGCATGGGGACCTTGTGAGGGAGCCACCCAGCCCATGCACACAGCTCCAGATGTGCAGCTCCAGCTCCTGCTCCAGCCCCACAAGGGTTAAGGCAGTGGCTGGGAGATGGAGCCTGCAGAGGCCCCATAGCCCCGGAGGAGGAGGAGGATGAGCGGGGAGAGGAGCCTGTGCTTCCTCCGCTGTGAAGCTCCCCCACCGAGGAAATTGTCAATTAGAGGCGGTTGGAAGCACGCAGCAGATCCCCATGAGCCGGTGGCTGCTCAGCCAGCAGGGCCCATTACGGGTGTTTATGTCCCCTGGGCCCCCAAAGGCTCTGTGAGACCAGGACCCCGCTGTGCCCCCTTTGCTGTGGCTCCAGGCACTGCCATGAGGGCTGAGAATGCAGTGCCCAAATCCATGCCTCAGTTTCCCCATCTGCAAAGCACGGAAAGGCTGGGCTAGAGGAGGAGCAGAGGGAGCTGGATGGGCACTGCAGCCCTCCCTGTCACTGCCTTTGGGTGGGCATCGCTGCCTCCACCCTCAGGGCAATGAATCAGGCCCCAGGTTCTTTGGGACCCTTTAAATTCAGAGGTGCCGCCCTTCCCACATGGGAAAAAGTCATTCCCTGCCCTCAGCAGCCCTGGATGGATGGAGAGGGGTCGGAGCAGGAAAGCATGGAGGGACCCTCTGCCACCAGACACAGGCCACTCCCCGGTCACAACCCCAACAACAGAAATGCAGGTGCTAACTGATGTACCTCCTTTTATCACTCTGCAGATGGGGGTAGCACCAAACAGGTCCCACTGCCACGCACCCCCCTTCCCTCTCCTTGGCTGCCCATGTGCACGTCCCTTTCTGCCTCAGTTTCCCCAGCAAGGTGCTGGGCAACTCCAGCCCTGTGCCAGTAAAGCATGGAGGCTGGCTGGGGTGGCTCTGAGCCCCTGGCACCTTGTGAAGGAGCACCCGAAAGGGTGCTGGGTCAGCTCACACCGATCACATCCATCACATCCATCGCATCCCTCACACCCCCCACGTCCATTGCATCCATCACATCCATCGCATCCATTGCATCCATCGCATCCACCGCATCCACCGCACGGCACCAGCAGCCTCCCACCACCCCCTCCCCAGCCCCGACCTCTGGAGCTGCTGAATCATGTCTTGGGAAGCGGCTGCATCCCTCCCGCACCGCCTGGGCTCCCGGCGGCCTCCACGCATGACCCACTTCTCCCGGCGGCTGATGCCAGCTGGGAAACGCAGCCGATGGTGCTCCCAGCCCCGGCCCCGGCGGCTTTATCCGGGCACATGCTTCCCAGGGGAGAGCAGGTTGAGCTGTTGGAGCTGACGGGGGGAGCAGGGCTCGGGCAGCAGCGTGAGGCTCTCTTTGGGAATGGGGTTTGCTGCCAGAGGGAGCCGTGGCACAGGGATGCAGGCAGATGTGCTGCTCCAGCCGGGGATGCTGGAGGGGATGGGAGCTCTCCCACACTCCATCCCCACCATCCCTGGGGATGTGCACCGAAAGTCCAGCCCTTACTTGAAGCATCCCAGGGAAGTTTTGGCTGAGGGAGCGGGTGGTGGGTTTGGCTGGGATGTGCCAGGGCACATGTTATGGACAAACATAGGAAGGCTCCCAAGGAGCCAGGGTTTACCCTTGGAGCCAGCTCAGTCATGTCCTGGTGGCACAGCAATGGGGGAACCCCTCAGCGCAGCGCTGCATCCCACCAGGGGGAAAACCTCGAGGAGAAACTTCTATGGGGAAAGTTTGAGTCGGGAGCAGAGCTCGGCCACGTGGTCCCCATGGGGCCATGGCTCCACCTGGGTGCTGGGCAGGAGCTGCTGGCCAGGCCCGTGCTGAAGCTCATGGGGAAGCTGTGGCTGCCCCATCCCTGGCAGTGTTCAAGGCCAGGTTGGACACAGGGGCTTGGAGCAAGCTGCTCCAGTGGAAGGGGTCCCTGCCCATGGCAGGGGTTGGAGCTGGAGGAGCTTTAAGGTCCCTTCAACCCAACCTAATCTGTGGCTCTATGGTGGGGAAAAGAGGAATTTCTCATCCCCCAGCCCTCTGCCAACTGCAGCTTCAAACCCAGCCCAGGTGGGTTTGGTGTCGCAGCTCCTGACTGGCCCGGTTGGCTGCATGGAGCAGGAGCCATGGGGACCACTGTGAACCAGCTCTGAGACAAGGAATGCCCGAGGAGAGGCAGAGAGGGGACTCAATGCCATCTTGGATTCTCTGCAGAGGGGTCTTTCCCCATTGCAGTGCTGGCAGCGAGCCCGGAGGGGAGCCAGCCCCTGCTCTCTGCAGATCCCGTGGGCTCGGGGATCCCATTTGCTCTCAGCCTCCTGGAAAACTTTCGGATGATGATTAACAAACAGCGCATCCATCCGAGGGGCTCTCCCAGCGCCCTCAGCCCGGGCTGCAGGAGCAAAATGGGAAGGACACAACCCAGGCTCCTGGATCCGGGTCCAGGCAGGATTCCTGTTTTACTGGTCCCTGGGGTGGGCGGTGGGAGCTTTGTCTCTCTGCAGAGCATCTTTGCTGTTTGCCAACAGGTCAGTGTGGGCATCCCGCCTGCCCCTGTCCTCACCCTCACCATCCTCCTCTCCCCACTTCAATAAGGGAAACGGCCTCTGGGTGCTGCACCCCACTGACACCCCAAACTCCCGGCATCCACAGCACCCCATGGGATTCCCACTCGGCGCTTTCCCAGGGTACCTGGACAAGGGTGGCACCCCCAGACAACACAAGAAACCTGCCTCTGCTCCCCACCTCCAGAGCATCTCCCCTGCTTGCTTTCACGAGCTGCCCCAGCCCCACGCCGTCGGGTGATGTTCAGCATCCCACTCCCAGGATCCCGTGCCCCCCACATTCCCCCTTCCACCGCCAACTCCAGCGCTCTCCTTCCCGCCGACGCTGCCGCCGGAGGCACAGATGGTGCCCTGGGAGTCACACCTGCTTTGGGTTTGATCTTGGCTCCCAACTCGCATTATTTCACCCGCCAGCCTGCTACGTACCGATGCCATCCATCCGCTAACGGGGACACACACACACACCCCCCCCCACACACAACCCACCCCCAGCACACCCCAGCACCGCTCTGCTCCCCACCCCGCTCCTCCACACCCCCCCCAGCTCCATCCTCGGGCTAAGGTGACCTTTGTGATGGCAGCAGCTTCCCCCAAAGTCCCCACCAAGGCTCCCCCCGCCGCCACCACCCGGCTCGAAGGTGTGGAAATCAGAGGAGTGCTGTGAAACCCTCCCTGCTCCCAGGCAGCGAATACACCCAGCCAGCTCCCCACTCGCTGTCATTCATTCCAGTCCGGTTCTATATATTGTTCTGCCTCTTCCTGAGCTATAAAGAGATGCAGTTGGATGTGCTGCTTCCCTTTTTTTTTTTGCCTTGTTTGCTTGGATTTAAATACCTGATGAGTATGGAGACCCCCACGTCCTCGCAGTTTGCATAGACTCTGCTCCATGTCTCTTGAATCACCTTTTTCTCTGCGTCTGAAATCTCTTCACTTCTTTCCCATCTCTCAATCTCCATTTCTCCCTGGACTTTCTCCATGGAAAACAGCCGGCAGGATCCTCCGGGAAGCCAGGAGGAGAGCAAGGGGGATGTGTGCGAGCGGGTATATCCTGGGGAGGAGAGACAAGGTGTTTGCTCAGCGGCTCTGCCGACGCGGGGATGTGCAAATGTGTGTGTGTGTGTGTGTGTGTGTGCGAGCGCGGCTGCTGCCGCCGGGGTTGGAGGTGGAATCGAGCCGAAGATCCCGGGGCTTGCTGCGTGCGATCAGATCTCAGCCCTCCTGGTGCTGCCCATGGCTGGAGTTGGCTTCAGCTCGGCTCGGATGCGTGAGCCTGACTGATGGGGAACTGCCTAAAAGTGAAATATTCAAAGGCATCGCAAGACCAGCCTCTTTACCAACGTGTGAACGTGAGCTCACTTTCTCCCTCTCTCCTCCTCTCTCCCACTCCTCCCTCCTTCCCTGGTTTTTTTTCCCTTCCCAAAAGGGAGGGATGAGGGGGATGTTCTGGGCAACATCAGCTCCGTGCTGGGGAGGGGGGGAGGTTTTTATTCAGCCCTTGTAAACAGCTCCGAGGAAATTCAGAGCCCAAAGTGTGAGCTGAAGTTATCCCAAGCGCTGCCTGTGCTCAGCTCCCCCCGTGCTCCCGTGTTCTGTGTTTTGAAGGACAGAGCCTCACTTGCTTCTGATTCTTGGGCTGCACGAAGAGCCGGGTGAGACCCCAAAGCACCCCCTCACCCAGCATCCCTCTGCCACCCCAAAGAGATCAAGGTCCGTCCCACAGGGACTGATTCAGTGACAAGAATTTGCTCCCCTTCCCGTGGCAGGACCCAGCTGTGAAGGGACGTAGAGTTCAGGCACTTGGGAAAGGAGCAGATTCGTGCTCTGGAGTGCCTGGGCAGGGATGGAGAGCTCGGGAACACCTCCACGCCAGGCTCCCCTCTGCCCTGCTGTGTGCTCTTTTGGGCTGCTCCTTACCCAAATGCCATTCCCAGCTCCCTGACGAGCCGGATGGAACACCCGCAGCACAGCGGGAACGCCACAGGGACCTGTAATAACCGACAATCCCCCAGAGGGGGATCAGACACAAGGGAAGCAGCCGGGTGCGCTCAGCATCACACGGACAGGCAGGCTGAGGGCTGGGGTCTGAGCCCATCTGGGGCTGGAGCTTTGTCACTGCAGATCTGTCGCTGCTTTTTGCCATGTTTCTCCTCCAAACCAGCCAGCTCAGCAGTGTCAGCACATCTGCTCCTGCAGAGCTGGAGGGAGATGGAGGAGATGCTGCCCACCGGTCCCCTGCTGTGGGTGTCCCACTGGATTCATACAGGGGCAGACTGGGAGCCCTCGGCTCGGGGACACACAGCTCAGCTCAGCTGGGTGCTGCCAAACCCATGGTGTGAAAGCACAGCAGCCACCCCTACCTGCCTGGAGGTTGGGCACCATTCAGGTCCTCAGTGACAGCACCACCAGCTTCCACATCATCAGATCGGCAGTGGCCAGCTTGAAGTTTGGCTTTGTCTTCTGTCCATTGGCCATCAGCCTGAGCTCAGGCATTAGCTACAACGTTCTCAGGTGGCCACCATGCTCTGGACACAGGGTGGCATGGCCAAGCTGATCACCTCCCCTTAAAATGCAGGGGAAAAGCAGCTGCGCTTAGTTAGACCCAGCTTAAAACCAGAGCAACACTGCAGTGCAGTGCTGGTGCTTCCAAAAGGGAAAACCCTCAAACTATAGGGAATCTGAAGGCTCAGGTGATAGCCCAGGTGGAGCACTGGTTAAGTTATTACTTGCTGTGTAAAGAAAAGGACTCTGTGAAGCTTCTGCACTTGGTGTTTCAGCCAATTCTGGTACCTTCCCCTTGCTCCTCAGCACTGGCAGTCCAAGCATCTTGGCCCAAGAGTCTCCATTTAGAAATCTGAGAGTATCAGAAACTGTTGGAAAAGTGAGAGATCCCCAGCCTTTTCCAGGCTTTGCCTCCCTCTTTGGGGACTCCGGATCGGGCTCTGTGATGGCAGGAGCCCATCCTCATCCCCATGTACCACAAACAGGGGATGTGAGTGAAGTGGCAGTGATGCTCCTCTGCCCCAAAATCCCAAACGAACCCCAACAGCCCTGAACTTCAGCATCTTACCACACACATGGGACATAAATCAGGGCCCAGGGTGCAGGCACACGCTGTCACATGCCAGCCACCCGTTTCCATGGTTTCCCATGACTATGGCTCTCCAGGGCTCAGGGTGAGGAGGAGACTTGTTCCAGAAGGAGAAAGATGCTGCGTTGATACCATTGCTGGGAAATCCTGGCTGGGAATTGCACTGGCAGGCCCTTGTGCAGCCCTATGGAGAATCTGGTGACCCTCTGGTGCAAGGTGCTGTGCCGAGGGAGGTGACAGCCCTCACAGCTGGGATGGCATTTGCTCGCCCTGCCCAGCCTAAGATGCCCTTGGTCGCTGTCCCAGAGGGTGACCGAGGGATGGGGACAGAGGACATGGTTCCCACAGCCAGTGGGAAGGCTGAGCCTGGGTAACCCATATGGAAGGAATCAGTGCTTCTGTCTCAGATCCCAGTTCAACACGCTGATCCCTCACCCCTCTCCACTGGAGCATCACATCCCTCCTACTTCCCACCTCCTTCCCACAGACCTGTCCCCACAACAGGGGACACTGTGGAGCCTGAGATGCTCCTCCCATCGCTTCTGCATGCTAGGAAGAGGCGAAGCTCCTGCTCAAGCCGTTCTCCCCTCGCACAGCCGCAGGGTGAGGCCGGGCTCCCGGGCTGTGCCGTGCTCCTGCGGGATCTGCTCCCACCTGCCGACGGCTTTCCCTGCTCCCGCCGTGCCCTCCCACATCGCCTCTCCTCCTCCCTTGCACTGGGTGCAGTGAGGAACGTACTTGGCTCCCGATCCTCGAGTGGGAGGTGAAGGCAAAAACTCCCGAGCCTTCAGCTCCCCGGTGCGTGGGATGCGGATTATGGCAGAGCCCCCCCTTGACTCCTCCACTGCCTCCGGGGCGAAGGTGGAACCCCCACATCCAGACCCCGGGGCTGAGCCCACCTTCCCTGGTGCACAGAGCCTTCACGTGTCCCCTGCCAAGTCAGCTCCTTCTCACAAACACCATTTGCTGGGGTGGCCCCGGGTAAAGACCCCAGGAGTTCCCTCTGGGAGTGCTTTGGGAAGGAGCTGCCCCAAGCCCTTGGTGCTGGTGTGATGCTGGGACCCTTCTCCAGGCCCTCAAGACACCAACCTGGCCAGATCCAAGCAGTCCTGGCATTCTGAGTGCAATAAGGCTGGAGATGTCAGTGTGGTAAAGCCAAGGCACCCAGAAGAGCAGCCCTGACTCTGCTCCTCTTCCATCAGAGCTGGACAGGGACGTGGAAGGTGACGATAGGGATCTGCCTCTTTTGCTCCCACCGATGTGGCCATGGGCTATTGCATGTCCTTGGGTGTTCCTCCTTCATCCTGCTCTCAGAGCCCATCCAAGCTGCTGCTTTATCTCACCCAGCGATGCTGGACTTGTCACCCTAACCCACTGCTGGAAGGAAGCGCTGGGTTGCCACCCAGCTCACCCAGCATTGCCCCAGCAATGATTCCCTTCTCCCCTCCCCTAATCCAGCCCTGCTGCTAACTGCAAAGTCCTGGCCAGAACAGGAATAACAAGACTTTAGGAAACGGCTTTGCAGTGCCTGCTACCCAGGAGGGAAGGATTTAGCTTAAAGCCTGGATAAATGCTCTGCACTTATTGCAGGTTTCCTTCCCTGGCTTCTCTGATCCCAGGAGACCCGTGTGCAATCCTGATGCTCCAGCTCTGTGCTGGCAGTGCCTGCGGCCTCTGAGCCATTGCTGCAGGAATGGGCTGGAGGACATGTCCGGGTGATAAAAGGGGGTACAGCCAACAGGACCACCCCCCCCCGAGCCAGCTGGGATGGCATCACTGCCGGCATCTCCATCACACGGGATGCTGTGGGATCCCAGGGCAATCCCGCAGCTGCTGGCCACGTTGCTGGCGTGCTCGGTCACCCACTGTAAAGAGCAGCAGTGCTGAGAGGCTGGGATCCCCCAGCTCCGTGTCCTCCGCTCTGGGAAGAGCAGGGCCAGGGAAGCAGCAGTGCAGGAGCTGCTGTCCTGTCCCAGCCATGGGCAGCCCCAGGAAGCGGAATGGGACGAAGCTGGAGCAGACATTCCTCCTCTGATTGAAACCAGACCTCAGGCCGTGCTGCTGACTGGAGCTGGTGGGGAATGTGTTTAAACCAAACCAGCCTTCCCTCTCCTTCCTGCATGGAAACAGGGTTCGTCTGCTCCGGGGCTGAAGTACAACAGATGTGGCTTTGTGCAGAGACCGAGGTGCCACAAAGCAAATCCCACAGTGGGACCCTGCCCTGAGCCCCCAGCTCCCAGAGGGGACCTCAAGCCCTGGGGCCACCTTGACCTCAACCTCACCACCCACATATGGGAACAGGATGGGGGAGATGCTCTGGGGAGCAGGACCGCAGCAGTGCTGGGGTGATGCCCGGGAAGGGAGCACAGGATGGGGGCACACGGACAGGACCCTCGGCAGCAGTGGGCAGGGGTAGGAGCACAGCATCCCTGTGACCTTCCCAAACCTTGTGTCAGCTTCCTGCTTCCCTATGCAGAAACAGCGCTCCCAACCCACACAGCCCAAAGGATCCCAAGGATCCGGCAATGCCGGGGAACAGGAGGAAGAGGAGAGGGGCCCTGGGATCAGGGCTGGGGGCTGCCCCGTGCTCACAGGCAGGGTGAGAAGCTGCCAAGGCAGCCCTGGAGAGCACTTCCCACCCAGACCAACCCGGTCCCATGCTGGGAATTGCTCAACCCCCCCCAGTCCCACACTGGGATTTGAAGAAATCAAGGCCTCGTGATGCGGCCGGGAGGGATGAAGCAAGAGGCTCAGGTGCCAGATCCAGCATCCCGGGGCTGCATGGGCAAGGCCCCAGCCGGCTGCTGCACTTCCTCAGACCCTGGTGGTGTCACCACCTTCCCCTCCATGCCCCCCCATGCCGAGCTGTCCCCACAGCAGGAACCAGCCACCCCCCGGGAGCACGGCCCCTGTCAGAGCCGGACCCATCAGCGGTAAGCGGGGATGACAGGGTCCTTGGGAAACAAGTCAGCGCTTCCAAACAGATTCTCTTTGCTGCTCTTTTCCTTCCTGAAGCTGGTGTGAGCATGGCAGGGGTTGCTCAGGAAAGCCAGGAAGCTAATATATTCATGTCATCTTGCATTTGGTGCCAGGACATGAAGTAAACACCGTCAGGGACCTCGCTCCGGTTCAAAGACAAGCCCTGTTTCTTATTCCGATCACATTATCCATGCTCCCCGTACAGCTTCATTGATTCATATCTTAAAAAGAAAAGCCTTCAAAACCCATTAAGGCTGCCTCGCTGTTCCAGCCCTGCTC